ACCCGAACGCCGCAGCCCAGCCCACTGGGGCCGCCCATGGCGGTGGGTCAGCAGCCAAGACGGGCGCGCCCATGGCGGCGCCCTCGGCCGACGCGGCAGGCGGTGCCGAGGCGCTTGCCGGGGGCAGGCAGGCGGGGCCCGCGACGCAGACGTCGGCTGGAGGAGGCGCTGTGGACGACACCCCCATGACGCCGAGGGCTGCAGCGCCAGCGAGCGCGGCTCCGCCGGCGCCCCCGATGGGCCGATCGCCGAAGCGACCCGCGGGGGGGTGACAACAGGGGCACTCTTGCGCGGTCCCGAGTTAACGGAGTAGCAGCAGAGCATTGTGATGACCTTCGGCCTGACTTCTTGCAGATCCTCAGTGACGTGGATGTCCCTTCCCCGCGACGCGTCGGACTCGCAGTTGGTCGAGGCTTCCACCAAACGGGCCCTCGACGGCCTGAAACAATACGGGGCGGACAAGCTCGTCAAACGGAGCGAGGCCGCCGGCGAGAGGATCAGCGCCCACTGGGACCATGTCCACAAGTGGGGCGCGAACCACGGATGCAGGATCACTAAGTCAAGGTACGTCGCGCGAGAGTTCAAGTGGCAGGAGTACCGCGACGACCTCTTCGCGCCAGGGAGCAGCTTGGCCGACAGCCGAGTGGTGGACTACGTGGCTCTGAAGCAAGGATGGCCCACCTTCACTGTTGACGCGGAGGGCGCGTGCAACCATGTCCCCGAGGAGGAGGGCGCGCGGGTCGAGCGCCCACCCGAGGTCTTGGAAGAGTGCCGCGCGAAGGGCGACACCGAGGACTACGTCGGGCAGCTCGCGAGGCAGTGGCCAGGGCGGCGTGATGGAGGGAAGCGCTGGGTCGAGTTCGCCGCGGAGCAGCTCATGGCCAGGGGCTTCGAGCGGTCACCGACCGCGCCCCAGTTTTTTTCTTGGCGCGCCGAGCTTCTATGTCTGGTGGGGCTGCATATGGACGACATGTGCGGCGCTGCGCCTGGGGTTGCAGGGTCCGGCTTCGTGCTGGACCTAGGCCGTGACATCAAGGTGAAGTGGTCGGGCCTACAGGGCGACGGTGCCGACTGCGAGTTCCTCAACAGGCGGCGCGCGCGGGGGGGCCCACGCAACCTACATCCAGCCTGACGAGAAGTACCTCACGAAGGCGCTGGGGGCGCTAGGGCTTGAGGAGGCCAACCATTGCGCCACCCCAGGGTTGGAGGCACACAGGACAGGCAGGGATGACACGCCCGACCTCGACCCAGACGGGGCCAAGCTGTTCAGGAGCGTAACCATGTGCCTGCTGTTCTACCTGCACGACCGCGAAGATGCTCAGTTCGACATCAACTACCTGACCTCGTGCATCTCATCGCCCCGTGAGGCGGACATGCGAGCCCTCGAGAGGCTGGCAAGGTACCTGAAGGGCACGAGAGACCTGGGCGTGAGGGTGGCCAAGCCCACCACGCAGCAGGACGTCGTCGACCTGGTCGCGTGGACAGACTCCGACTGGGCAGGCGACACGAAGGAAGGGAATAGCCAGATCAGCGTGCATATCACCGCGCGCGGGTGTCCAATGCTCGGGATCAGCTGTCGCCAGGGCGCGCAGTCCCTAGCAGCTGCGAAGCCGAGTGGCGCGCTGGAGCTCGAGGTCTCAGCGAGGGACTTGGGCTGACGGCGCTCGTCGCGCTCGTGAGCTACAGCGTGCGTATGAGCTGGCGATGCGACAGCCGAGTGCGAGGGCGCTGGCGAGGCGTCACGGCACTGGGCGGATCAAGGATCTTGCCACCACGCTTTGGATCCAGCAGCGGGCGGCCAAGAAGGTCATCACTATTCAGCCTGTGGGCGGCGATGACAACCTGGCGGATCTTGGCACAAAAGGTGTTGCCGAGGACACGCCTCGAGTGGCTCCGCGAGAGCTGCGGGTTGAAGGAGGTGCCCGTGCCAGGGACCCCGAGGGTTGCTGGAGTCGGGGCCATGCCGATTGACTTCCAGGCCCAGTCGAACCTGCGGAAGGTGTTGCTTGCAGTGGCCGCGCCGCTTCCCGCAGCGGCGCAGGGAAGCTCGACCGAGCTGTGCGAGGCGCCGCGGGAGATGGACGAGAGTGCGCTGACTCCAGTGGCCGCGCTAGGAGTCGCGACTGAGGGCTACTACGTGAGCCTGACTGTGGTAATGGCGGGCGTGAGCCTGGGACTCTTGCTCGCTTTGCTAAGGTTTTCCTTGATTTGCTGGTTCTGTCCGTGTGCGAGGCCGACCTGGTGCCACACGGGTGCCCTGCCGCGCGGCGGCGACGGCGGGAGGCCACGTCGTGCTCCGATCGAGGGGTCAAGTAAGCCAGCAGTGAAGATCAAGTCAAAGAAGGGCGACCGCAGAAGGACGGTCGCCACCCAGAGCCAGGTCAAGTATACCGGGTGGGCGACCAGTCCCCGTTTCCATCCTTTTGGGACCGCGAGAACAGGGGGTGTGGTCCGAGTAGGGCCTTGATATGTGTACTGTTTAGATGCGCCACAGGCGCGAGCCTAGACCTCCGCGACTATGCGTCGAGGCACTGCGGGTTTTGGTTTCACTTTCTAGGACCCTGGAGGGAGTGGTGACCCCGAGGGGTGTCCGAGGAGGGGCGGGCCCACCACCCGCTCCACGCTCGGCCAGGCGGCGTGCTCGGGATCTTGAGTGATTTGGACGCCATCAGTTCATAACATGCCCGCAGGCCCTTTTGTTCGAGCTGCGTTGGAGGAAAAAGAGCCCCAAGACACGCCCCCACGCATCCGCGTAACTTCCGCCAACGTGGAGGAGTTGGGAGGGGGGTGATGGGAGGGAGGGACGAAGGGCTCAGAGGATCAAGGCTTTTGCTCAGGAGGAGGAGGAGGAGGAGGAGGAGGAGGAGGAGGAGGAGGAGGAGGATTCAGGCATCGGCCCAAAGACCGCACAGCGTCAAAACGTAGGAGGAGGATCGAATTGCTGTGGGCGCTTCGGGTGGTTCTTTCGACCACCGGCGGCTCCTGTGGACGTGCGCAGCCCGATGATATCGGGAAGCGTCAGCAGGCACTGGGATGCATCCCGCAAGCATCCAGACGGGCTCCCCGACGGGTCTGGACCGCCTGCATGGGAGCTCCCGGATGGGCCTGTGGAGGCACCCGGAGCCTCCCCGGGCCTCCCATCCAGGAAGCGTCCGGGGGCATTTGGAGGCTTCCCCACCTTTCCGCCCCCCCCCCCTCCGCTTTCCCCATCCGCACTCGTCCATCCATCCCCCCCAGCTGCCCAGTCCTCCCCCCCCTCACCTGCTCTCCCTCTTTTCTCCTCTTCTCCCCCCGCCTCTCCTTCTCTCCCCCCTCTCCCCTTTCGCCCCTCTCCCATCTCCCCTCTCCTTCCTTTTCCTCTCTTCTCCTTCCCTCTCCTCCCCTCTCCCCTTTCCTTCCCTCTTCCCACTCTCGTCCTCTCCTCTCTCCCCCCTCCCCCTCTCCCCCTTGCCCTCCCTCCCCCCCTCCCTTCACCTTCCCTCCCACCCTCCCTACTCTCCCCCTCTCCCCCCCTGCTCCCCTATCCCCGCCTTCCGGAAGCAACTTCATGGAGGATGAAGTCAGCATCGGCGTCGTGCGCGAAAATCAGCCCAATCTGGCATAATCCCGCCTTCTCTGGCTTAGTCCAGTAATCGGCCTAAATCCCCAGTTCAATCTGGCCGAATCCCATGCTTAGTCTGGCTTTTCCCTGGATTACTCTGGCTTCATCAGGTTTGATGGCCCTCTCAGTCGGGCTGAATCGCCCTTAGCCGTTCTGACGAATACCTCCCAGAAGTTGCACCCGGACTTCCTCCCACGAACCCCCGTCTCCCGCCCCCGCCCTCCCCCGAATACCCTTTGACCTTGGAGCCGGCTGGGGAGGCCGAGGTGCGGCATCTCTGATTCCAGCCGCTGGGGAGAGGGAGAGGCACCATCGTATACGGGCTTCGTCTTCTGTCCCCTCCGGGCCGCTTTCCCCAGACGGGGATGCAGCGCCAGATTGGCCAGCATGCCCCTGCTGACTGGTGTTGCTGCTGCCCGTCCAGGGCGGACCCCCCGCCCGCCTCCATCCAGCTCTGACCGCCCCCCTCTCCCCGTAGCTCAGCACCGTCCAGCCTAGCCAGCCCCACCAGCCCACCCTCGCAGGCAGGGGTAGGCCCCCGAAGCCCGAAGGAACATGCACAGACTCCCATCGAGGTGGCAAGTCGGCCAGTGGGGCCAAGGCCACGCCAGTGGGGACAGGGATCTGGACGATGCTCAGCAGCTGCCTCCTCCCCTCTCCCCTTGCCTAATGGGTGTTTTTGTTGCGGCCTCGTGGACCGCTTTCGTTGTGTTTTCGTCTTGCAGCAGGAGGCGGGTCGAAGACAGGCAGGCCTCAGAGCACCTTGGCGAACACGATTCGTTTGTCAATGCCCCCCCCAATCATCAACGCCGGCGGTGGGTCTCATTAGCTGCGATTCGGCCGCGGTCATCCCTGAACGTGCCAACTCTGAGATTTGCGGGGAAGGGGAGTGTCCACTGGCAGGCTCGCGTCGAGTTGACGCGGCGGCGACCCCAGCACGGGAATTCCAGGTTGAACGCCGCCGGTGGTGCGGAGCTGGCCGACAGCGCATGCTCTGCGGTATCGGGAAGCCGCGATCGTTCAAGGCTGAACGTTCCACGGGGTCTTAGAGACCAACGCCCACGTCATCGCGACGCGAACTTGCCGTGACCGCAAGACGTTTTCAGCGCTGCACGTGCTCCCCCCCTTCAGTCCGCCGTCGTCGTCGTCCGCCGACGACGACGGCTACGACGACGGCGAGATGATTCTTGCCGCGTGGTGCTGGGTGTCGGCCACCGTCACTGAGCCAACCCACCCGGGAAAAGTGCCCAAGTGTTGGGGGGTTGTCAGGGAGCACCTCTTGCGGTCAGCTGCTGCCCTCCTCGCCAGGTGGGCAGCGCGAGCAGGCCACACGGGAGCGGAGCGCGCCGTCTGGGCCGAGGCCTGCCCCGTCTGTTTTGCCCCCCGGCCAGCGCGCCAGGCCGCGGCGGCCGCCGACCGCGGGGAGCCGGGCCCCAACGCGCCGGGGGTCGAGGAGATCGAGAGAGCGATCCAGGAGGGGCGGGCCGAGCCTCCCTCGCCTCCCTCCCCTCCTCGCTCCCTCCCCTTCGCGGCCTCCCCTCCTCGCTCCCTCCCCCTCCCCCTCCCCTCCTCGCTCCCTCCCCGCCCCCTCCCCGCCTCGCTCCCCTGCCCTCCCCTCCCCGCCTCGCTCCCCTCCCCTCGCTCCTCCCCTCATCGCTCCCTCCCCTCCTCGCTCCCTGCCCTCCCCTCCCCGCCTCGCTCCCCTCCCCTCCTCGCTGCTCCCTCCCCGCTCTCCTTCCTCGCCTGTCCCCTCTCCCTCTCGCCGTGCTCGGTTCTCTCTCTTCCCCTCCCGGGTTCCACAGGCGTGGCTGGCAGTCTTCCACGAGCTCCCTCTTCTCCCGGGTTCCACGAGGAGCCCCCCTTTAGCGGGGGATGGGGTCCAGTGCAGGCCCAATAACTCCGCGCGTGCCTTCGAAAGTGAATGGTTCGGCAGCTCTTGTCTGTTCCCATCCCTCTCCCTACGCTCCTTGCTCTCCCTCCTCCGCCCTCCCTGCTCCATCTTCCCCCCCCTCCTCTCTCCCGCATCGCCCTCCCATCGTCGTCGTCGACGGCTGCGTCGTCGTCGCTGACAGGAGGGAAAGGAGGAGAAGGAGGAGGTGGAGGAGGAGGAAGAGGAGGAAGACGACGTGCCCGCGTCGTAAGGAGCACGACGAGACGGCAAATTTCTCTTCCACGACCACGAGCATGGAGGCAGTCATCGACTCCTCCACGACCGCGAGCACGGAGACGACCACTGACTCCTCCACAACTGCGAGCACGGAGACGACCACTGACTCCTCCACAACCGCAAGAGGTCTTTGGTCGTGCTCTGCCTCTTGAGGCCTTCGCAGGGCCCGCTGGATTGTCAGAGGACAGCTTAGGGTGCAACACCTGTCCCCGGGAAGCGGTCCCGTGCTGAAGCCAGCGGGGCATCGCATGCCTAGGGAAGGCGGGGCGACGCCACCACCAGGAAGGGAGAAGGCGACGCCACCACCACTAGGGCGGGGGGAGGAGGAAGGTCGAGCGGACGGCAAGGGGGGGGGGCGATGAACCTGGGGGGGTCGAGGGTTGCACATCAGAGGCAGCAGCGTGGAATGGGGATTCCCCGCCGCAATGTCCCGGCGGAGAGCCCCTGACAAATCGTCATCCTCCTCCCCCTCGTCCTTCTCATCGGCCTCCTTCTCCTCCTCCTAATTACTAACCTTCCAGGCCCTTCATCTTGCTATCCGTTGGGTTTCTTGCTCCACCCGCACCTGCTCCTGCGACCCCCAGAAATACGACCACCCCTGCATCCCCCTCATCGTCGTCGTCTTCCTCCTCCTGCTCCTCCTCCTCCTCCTCTTCGTTCTCCTGGCCGTCCTGCCTATCCTCCTCTTCCGCTCCCTCTCTTCCTTCTCTTTTTTTCTCTCCTCCCCCTCTTCCTCGTGTTCCCGCACATGCTGCTCCTCGGGCGGTTGCGACCGCAGGTGGGCTGAAATATGTCCCCTGGTTGCGATTGCGTCTGCGGTTGCGCCCGCGGGCGGGTTGAAATGTAGCGCTTACGGTCGCGGTTGTTCCCCTGGGGCGGGTTGAAATGTGTCGCTTGGTTGCGGATGCGGTTGAGGATTCGCGCGCGGGCGGATTTAAATGTGTCGTTGAGTTGCGATGTCGGTTGCGCCCGCGGGCGGGTCGAAATGTGTCGTTTGGTTGTGGTTGCAGTTGAGGTTGTGCCCGCGGGTTGTTGAACTGCGCCGCTTGGTTGTGGTTGCCGCTGCGATTGCGCCCGCGGGCGGGTTGAGTTGTGTCGTTTGGTTGCGGTTGCGGTTGCGGATACGCCCGCGGATGGCTTGAAATGTGTGGCCTGGTTGCGATTGTGGTTGCGCCCGCGGGCGGGTTGAACTGTGTCGCTTGGTTACAATTGCAATTGCGCCCGCGGGCGGATTGAATTGTGTCGCTTGGTTGCAATTGCGGTTGCGCCCGCGGGCGGGTTGAATTTGTGTCGTTTGGTTGCGGTTGCGGTTCCGATTGGGTTGCGGTTGTGCCCGCGGGCGGGTTGAAAAGTATTGTTTGATTGCGGTTGCGGTTGCGCTTGCGGGTTTGTTGAAATGTGTCGCCTTGTTGTTGCGGTTGCCCTTGCGGTTGCGCTCGCGGGCCGATTGTGGTTGCGCCCGCGGGCAGGTTGAAATGTGTCGCCTGGATGCGGTTGCGATTGCGCCCGCGGGCTGGTTTAAGTGTGTCGTTTGGTTGCGGTTGCGGTGGTGGTTGTGCCCGCGGGCGGTGTGAAATTTGAAATGTGTAGTCTGGTTGCGATTGCGGTTGCGCCCGTGGGCGGGTTGAAATGTGTCGTTTGGTTGCAATTGCGGTTCCGCCCGCGGGCGGGTTGAAATGTTTCGTTTGGTTGTGGTTGCGGTTGCGCGCGCGGGCGGGTTGACATGTGTCGTTTGGTTGTTGTTGCGGTTGCGTTCACGTGCGGGTTGAAATGTGTCATGTGGTTGCGGTTGCGGGTGCGCCCGGGCAGGTTGAAATGTGTTGTCAAAAGTGTTCAGCCAGTTCAGTCAGTGTAGTTCAGTCGGTCAGTCAGAAGAGGGTACTGAATGTCATTCGGCTCCGCCGGGAATCTAATTGCCCGTGTATTTGCCCTTGCGACCCCAACATGCGCACGAAAGGTGCACGCTTTTTCATCCAAAGTTAATTGACCCCTCTTTCACGAACACCAGATGAGGAGAGTCGGCGCCACCACCGACAGGGGTGGACACCTCCAGCAAGGGGGACCACGATGCCTCCATGGGCTTGGGGGAAATGGGATGCTTCAAGCGAAGGTGGCGACCTCACCACCAGGATGACCCATGAATGGAAGAGCTCACCACCAGGGGGAGGGATCTCACCACCCGGCCCGGGGAGCTCACCACCTCGAGCCGGACGGAGGAAGGAGAGGGGACACCACCACCACCAGGGGCGGCCAGACAGGGCTTCCCGAGCTGGGGAAAGGGGATGCCTCGGAGGAAGGGGAGGTAGCTCCACCACACCACTCGGAGAAGCGTAAGAGTCGAGTGTGCTGGATTTTGGGTTTGCCTTCGCTTTTTGACGGGCCCGTCCTGGATTTTGACGGTCCCGTTTTCTAGGGATGCTTGCAGGGGGAGCAAGCATCCAATTTCGTATTGAGTCTCGTCATTCTCTTGTCGGCTTCGTCAGGCCAACCCGAGTCCCCCGAATTTGAGTCTTGTGTCTCCCTGACTCCAGCGAGCGGGACCACAGTGCCTCCCGAGAATGGGAAACGGGGATGCCTCGAGCGAGGGGGGGGGACCACACCGCCAGGAGGATCCCCCCGGAAGCGACCGCATGGCACACACAAACACACTCCTCACGCGTTCTGTGGCCTCACAGAGGGCTCCACCAAAGGACGCAATGGTAGTGTCGGCGTGGCGGCCCCGCCCACTTTCGGCACACGCGTCGCGTGCTTCGTGGACCCGGTCCGCACTGCCCCAGGGTCCATCTCCCTTGCGGAGGTTCGGATGCTTCTGCCTCCGAGGCGTCCGATTTTGACGCGGAGTAGGCCGACCTCGAACGCCTGCAGGGTTTCGTCTCACCTCATCTCATCTCATCTCGTCTCGTCTCATCTCATCTCATCTCATCTCATCTCATCTCATCTCATCATCTCCCTTGCGGAAGACTACCTATGAGGAGTGGGCCGCGTCCTGCGTCACTCGCAGTTGCATGGGGTCGTTGGTTTGCCAGCGTAAGTATTATGGTGATGTGGTCGTGGCGTGCGCCATTTGGACGGGAAGGTCAGTGCCCTTCCTCTTCTCCCAGAGTACCCTGACCACTCGACGGCATTGCCTGCTCGAGGCCTGACTGGCCACAAACCCGCTGATCCCAGGGAAGCAGACCATCGCCACATCCTGCGGATCCCGGCCGTTGCGCGGTATCCGACCCCGAACCAAACCTTCGGGTTGGTTTTGGAGGTCGCCACGGCAATCGCGGCGGCCATATTCTTAGGGCGAAGTTGTTTGTCAAGGAGAGGCACGCCCCTTCCCAGCACCCCCGCCCGGTCTGCGATGTAGACGTGGCCCATACTCAACAATATGGCGGCAGAGAGCTGCCAATGTATGTCTAACATGGTCAGTCATGTTGTTCTGTTCGTCCGGGGCCGACTACCACGCAACCAGCAGGGGCAGAATGACAGGGTACCCGTAGCGAGAGCGCGCGACCACCTGGGTCGCGACGCGCCAGAGGTCTCGTGGGAATACACGGGGCCCTGACATACAAGGCGCGGCCCGTGTCGCAAAAGAGGCGGCCTCCCATGTACCGCCCCCTGGATGGGGGCACCATCCGACGGCTTCTGAGTATGCCGTCCTGCGCGACCCTGCGCCTCGCCTCGGCCGCTCCACCTGCAACGCTGGGGGCAAATCGCTTGGGCGCGCCCCGTGCACACTTGACTCGCGACTGTAGGATCACATCGCCGGCGGAGGGAGTGTATGCGCGTGGTGGGAAGGGGTGGAGAACAGCGGGGCGCGCACCGAGCAGCTATATGCCTTTCGTCAGGGTGCCCTGGCTTCTCTCGCTCCGCGCGCCTGCGCGGTGACTTCCCGCTGTCGTTGGAGAAGCTGCTGCGTTCAGGATGCTCTGGGTCTCCCCTCAGTGCCCTTCGCGCGCGGGTTTTTAGGGGTAGGTTTCTTCCGAAGGTTTCTTGCTGCCGCGCCCGCGATGTACTGAAGGCGGTGGCGGTGCTGAGGGGGCCTGGGGCCAGATGAGTGGGGGTGGGCGGGAGCGCGTGTGTCTGTGTCTGTGTGTGTGTCGGTCCTGTCCCGGCATGTGCTGGTTTCACCAGGCGTTGGTTTCGTCGGCGCTGGTTTCGCCCCGCTGGTTTCGCCCGGCTGGTTGGCTGGTTGCGCCGGCGCTGGTTTCGCCAGCGCTGGTTTCACCGTCGCCGTCGCCGCCGCCGTCGTCGTCGTCGTCGGGCGTCAGGCGTCGTCGTCGTCGTTGTCGTCGTCGTCGTCGTAGTCGGTCGCCGTTGTATGTCGCCGTTGCCGCCCTGGTCTTCGTGGTCGTTGTCGCCGTCAGCCAGGGCGTCCTCCATGGCCCCTTTTGCGCAAAGGCGCCGCTGGCTTCCCCGCAGCATGCGGCGTCAGGGCGGCGCTCGAAGCCCAGGTGGAGCGCCCGGCGGTCCGGGTCGAGTCGGGCGGGCGGATCTTAGCGGGCGGGTCGGGTCGGGTCGGGCGCGCGGACCCTAACGGGCGGGTCGGGTCGGGCGGGCAGAACATTAAAGTGTGGGGCGCGCTCGACCGAGCACGCGCGAACTCCAACGGGCGGGTCGGGTCGGGCGAGCGGACCCTCGCGGGCGGGTCGGGTCGGGCAGGCGGCCCCTAATGGGCGGGTCGGGTCGGGCGGGCGGGACGTTAAATTGTAAGGTGCGCCCGATCGAACACGCGCGAACCCTAACGGGCGGGTCGGGTCGGGCGGGCGGACCCTAGCGGGCGGGTCGGGTCGGGTCGGTCGGGCGGACCCTAACGGGCGGGTCGGGTCGGGCGGGCAGGACATCACCTAAAGTGCGGGGCGCGTTCGACCGAGCCCGCGCGAACCCAAACGGGCGGGTCTGGTCGGGTCGGGCGGGCGGACCCTAACGGGCGGGTTGGGCGGGCGGGGCATTACAATCTGGGGCACGCTCGGGTAGGTCGGGTCGGACCGGCGGATCCTAGCAGGCGGGTCGGATCGGGCAGTTTCGCCGACGGCAGCTGGTTTCGCCGACGGCAGCTGGTTTCGCCGACGGCAGCGGGTTTCGCCGACGGCAGCTGATGGCACCTTGCGGCGAAACCAGCCGTCGGCGAAACCAGCGGTTGCTCCTGTCCCTGGCTTCGGAGTGGGCCGGCCGCGCGCGCTGTTCCCGCGCTCCGCCCTCCAACGGTCTGCGCCTCGACGCGGCGGGGCCGCTGTGTGCCAGTGGGCGGCGGGGCGGGGCGGAAAGGGGGAGGGCGGAGCTCGGCAGCCTTTCACCGATCCCTAAGCCCTTCTTGCAGGGGCGGCGATCAGGGGGGGATGAGCACAGGGGCGGATGCATCGATCCCCAAGCGCCCGTATTGATCGCCGATAGGGGCCCGATAGCCCCACCCCGCCTAAGAAGGTGCGGACTCACGATCGGGAGCCCATCGCCGATCTATCGGAGATTTATCGCCGATTCCAGGTCGATGCATCCCACCTATGCCTATCCCCCCCTATCGTTGCCCCTCATTCTTCATCCCCATTCAGATCCCCACCATCCCACCAACCTAGGGGGCCCGCCGCCCTTGCCAGCCCCCGCGCAGGACCGGAACGAGGCGCGCAAGAAAAACGATTATGCTAAGGCCGACAGGCGCCCCTTGTCTTTCGGTCTCTCGGAGGCCTCCGTTCGCAGAGCCGCCGTCGGTCGACCCCAGGAGAGAAGGAGGAGGAGGAAGAGGAGGAGGAGGAGGAGGAGGAGAAGGAGGTGAAGGAGGAAAAGGAACGGAGGAATGGGGAGAAGGAGGAATGAGGAGAAGGCGGAGGAGAAAGAGGAGGAGGAATGATGAGAAGGAAAAGAAAACAGGAGGAGGAGGAGGAGGAAGGGAACGAGGGGAGGAGGGGAGAAGGAGGAGGGGTATCCGTCCCGTGGTGTCGTTCGGTCGTTCCCCTCTCCTGTCTCTGGCCACCGCGGTTTTCTCCCTCACCCCCTGGCGAGAGTCAGGAGGCGAGTGAATCTCGGCTTGCGATTTACAAATGTTCCCCCCCAACCCGATGGTTCATGAATAGACCCAAGTGCCGCGAAACTATTCTAGATGCCTCGCGTAACCCCACCAGCCCATCCAGACACAATGCCCAGGCCAGGCGAGTTACCATGATCAGGCATGCGGGGGAGCACGCAGTGGAATGAAGGCTGGGAAACAGCCATCCCCCAAGAGGGAGAGGATGCGGGAGGGGATGAGGGAGGAGGGAGGAGGAGGATTAGGATGAGGAGGAGGAGGAGGAGGAGGAGGAGGAGGAGATGGGTGAACAGGAAGGCCACATGCCTCTTGGATGCTTCTTGTAGTCTCTTCGGATGTCTCTTGAGAGCTTCTTGTACGCCGGTTGGGGCGTCCTGAGGGGCCCTCAGCGGCCCTGGGGGGCCTCCTGAAGCGTCTAGGTTGCCTCGGGTGGCATCTTGGGAGTCTCGTTGGAACCTCTTGGTGGAATCTTGGGGGCCTCTTGGGGCCTCCTGGGGGCATATTGGCGCCCTCTTGGGGCACCCTCGGGAGCCTCGGAGGCCATCTTTGAGCCATCTTGGAGGAGCTCGATCAAAGAAGGGGAGGGGTTTCAAGTAGGGCCACCCCCCGGAAGCTGAAATTGGCCCAACACGAGTGAAATCAATGATCTCGGCCTCCTCGCCGAGGCATCTCTTGGACGCTCTGGCACTTCGCGGAGCGCCCCGTCCAGATTCAGGGGGGGGGTGGGGGAAAGGCAGGCTGAGGGGTAGGCGTTTCCCCGCAGGCGAAGCAGGGGGTTGGAACAGGAAGCTCCCTAAGCCACTCACGCCCTACAGGGCTGGTGGGATTTTCGATCACGCGCGCAAGGAGTCGTCGCGGGCGCCACCGAGGGGATTGTGTGCCCCCCTACACGGTAGCCTCAAAGCGGTCGAACTAATTGTAGGAATCGTATACGTCCGAGGTTTCGCCTTGTTCTCAGGCTGATTACTGACGTGCCCACAGTCGTCTTCTCGTCGTCGTCGTCGTTGTCGTCGTCGTCGTCGTGGTCGTGGTCGTGGTCGTCGTCGTCGTCGTCGTTGTCGTCGTCGTCTTGGTCGTCGTCGTCGTGGTCGCCGTCGCCGTTGTGTCGCCGTCGCCGTCGCCGTCGTCGATCACCCCATCCCCCACCGACCCACCCCCCATGGGGCATCCGCAGTGCGTCGTTGTCCGTCGTCGCCGCCGTCGTCGACCGACTACACCGGGCCTACGAAGCAGCACCCCCCCTGTGGGCATCCGCCGTGCGTCGTCGTCCGTCGTCGTCGTCGTCGTCGTCGCCGCCGCCGCCGCTGCAGTCGTCGTCAACAGCGGGCCTATGCAGCCCCCTCTCCCCTATGGGGTACCCGCAGTCCGTCGTCGTCGTCGTCGTCTTCAGCGTCGTCGTCCGTCGTCGTTGTCGTCGTCCTCGTCGTCGTTGTCGTCGTCGGTCGTCGTCGGTCGTCGTCGTCGGTCGTCGTCTCTTACCCCTCACCCCTCCCGCCCTCCATGGGGCATCCGCAGCGCGTCGTCGCCGTCGTGGTCTGACTACATTGGGTCTGCGCAGCACCTCCCCTCCATGGGAGCATCCGCATTGCCTCATCGTCCGTCGTGGTGTCTCCGTCAACAGCGGGCCTACGCGGCACCTCCTCTCTGTTCCCAGGGGGCATCCGCAGTGCGTTCTCTTCGTCGTCGACGCTTTTCTTTACTTGTTTCATAGTTGCATTGCGCATTGTTCTTGATCGTTGTCTTTGTTCTGTTTAATTGTTGATGTTTCTTTCCCCATCTAAGTTTTCCTGCACGTGTCATTCTTTGCCGCGTGAATGGACAAAGCTGGATTTTGGTCTCGAGCCCGACCTCAGAACAAAAAACAGTAAACACCAGAAAACGCATACAACGCACCTAACATTGCCATACAAGTGCACAATGCTTTTGTTTTCACAGGTTTCATTTGTTCTCAACCTGAAGAGGAATTGTGTTTCTGTCAAAACAGATGGTGTTCTCCGACTGCTACTTGTTGTTTGACAAAAACAGCCATAGACCCCAGCGGCCCTGATGCAGGCGCAGGTGCCGCCTAGTTCCAATGTGTTGGCAAAAAGAAGACGCACCATGGTTTATATCAACACCATTGATGCTTGAGGCCGGGGACACGTACAGTGTGTGAAACCACTTAGGTTAGCAATGTTGTTTTATTGTTTTGCATGCTTTATCTAACGTGTTCTTGCTTTTTTATGGTTTTCCCGGGGTGTTGGAATTCCGAGAACCTTACTATACCGGCCAAAAATTCCATACCCCAGCAAAACATAACCCACCATGGAACAAACACATCTAATCCATATGAATGTGTCTAGCGTTTCGGAAAGGCTGTTTTCATTTGCTTAATTTGCTTCATTTGCTCCCAGCATCACCAACCAACGATTCATACATATAGGCATATATTTTCTTTGTCTGCTTTTGGTTCTCAACCAAGGCAGCATTCATAATCCTTAGTGATCCCTGCGCAGGCACGGGGGGTCACCTGTCTCTAAAGGCGCTTGCTCGCATAAACATACATACACATTGGTACGCGGAAACACTTAATACCACTCAGGGGCAATCATCCACATATGCCAGATGCTTGCCATCACAACCAGTGTTTTTTTTTTTAAGGCTGGAGACCAGTGAAACCTGTGAGCACACAGTCGATCATCAATTGTGTAGCAGTGTTACATTCACGATGCTGTTGTTCTACAGTATGTTGTTTTTTGTGTGTGTTGTTTTTTTGTGTGTGTTGTTGTTGTTGTTGTTGTTGTTGTTGTTGTTGTTGTTGTTGTTGTTTTGTTTTGACGATCTGCACATACCCCGAACAACACTTCCAGACCCCAGAAAAGAACTCCATTTATAGACAACGGGAAACATAACGCGTGAAGTTCATTACTAATATTGCATAACACTTATGCTTTCACATGTTGCATGGGCTCCCAACTTTGCACATTCATGAGTTTGTAGAAATATGGGTGTCGTTGATTTGCATTGGTTTTCGATCGAGAAGGCAATCAGCACCTTCAGCGATCCTTGTGCAGGCACAGTGAAACGTGTGAGAACAAACATTGTGTTCGCACAGTCGCGCCAGCTAGTATGATTCATAAATGTATAGTTCCCAGGTGCGTGTTTTTTCCAACCATCCTGTGGTGTTGGGTCCTCGATTCGAAGAGACTGTGCCCGCGTCTCCTCTTACTCCTCCTGCTCCCGCTCCTCCCTCTTCCCGTCAGCCCCTTCACTCTGGCACATCCCTCACACATTTCTTTGCCCCATAGGGAGCTCCACAGACGACCCCAGTGGCATGTTTCGCACGCCGCCGCCCCTCCATTTCGGCACACATCTCACATGATTCGTGGCCCCATACGGAGCTCCACCGAAGACCCCAGTGGCATGGTTCGCATGACGCCCCACACCCCTCACACGCTTCGTGGCCCCATAGGGATCTCCACCGAAGGCCCCAGTGGCATGGTTCGCATGCCGCCCCCCTCCGCTTTTGGCACACCCCTCACACGTTTCGTCTCCCCATAGGGAGCTCCACCAAAGGCCCCAGTGGCATGGTTCGCATGCCGCCCCCCTCCACTTTGGTACACCCCTCACACGCTTCGTGGCCCCAGAGGGAACTCCACCGAAGGCCCCAGTTCTTGGGGGCGGCAAAGAGGGGGAAATGACTCGGGGGCGGGGTGGGATATCATGGCTGGGGTCATGATATCCCCCTGGATGTCATAGCCGCTTCTTCTTATGTCAATACGTCCCCTGCTCCCCCCCCCTGGGCCCCGCACATGCCTCGGGCCATCATTGCGAGCCCCTCTGTTTCACACCCCCGTCGTTGACGCCCCCGATTCTAGGGCTCCCAGATGGGGCTGGAGTAGATGGGGTCGGAGGATAGCGCCGCGTCGCCGATGCATCGGCAATGCGGCTCGATGTGGAGCGTTTTTTTCCCCACGCCGGCGCCGCCGATGTATCGACGACAGCGCCGATGCGTCGGCGATGCGGTGCACGCTTCCGGCCCCATCTATTATCTGGACCCCACGTAGGAGGTCTTTAACAGTTGGCTCGATGCGTATACAAATCAATGCAGCGCGCGCAGTCGTGGATCAGTGTTTGTCATTTTTCCTCCCCCTCCTCCTCCTCCCTCACTCTGTATCGTGCCGAGGCGCCGTGCCACAGGCTGGCTCATGGCTGTGTTGTTGATGCTTTTCGTCTGTTCTGCGACCGCGTGTGCGAACCCTACACCTTTGGGTTTAATCCACGCTGGGGTATTGGAGGCCCCCGCTGGGCATCCCTTGGCTGCAGGCATCCTTCGATTTCTGAGCCCCAGCCTGCGTTTGAGAAATCTGACCTGCAGGGGGAGGGTTCGCGCAGGGGCTGCCCACCTGTGGCGCAGCCCCCTCCCTCGAGGCCGCCCGAGGCATGAAAGCACGGCCCCCAGAATACGCGACGACCTGAAGGCCAGGGGGGTTGTCCTGAGCGATGAGAAGGGCGCTCACGGCAGTGGCCTCACTGTGACTTCCTGGCGATATTGGCACGACTGAGGCCGCCGCGGGCCACCCGTGCTGCCCCACATGCTTAAGTCGGGCTTGTCCTTTTGCAGGGGGGATATTTAAAAGTAGTCAAAAAATAGTCTGGGGACTATTTTTGTTGAGCATTTTTGACTACTTGGGAGCATTTGTTTGTTTTAGTATTTTTATGTGTCTTCGAAAATCCCCCTGTAGAGGGGACACGCAGGACTTAACCACAGGCTGCACACGCCGGACCGCAGTGCTCTTAGATTATTGGAGAAACGGCGTCTCGGCGAGAGCGAGGAGGAAAGGAAGCGGCAGTGGGATCTCCGGCTGCAAATCGCGGGAGACCTGCAGTCCCGTTTCAGAGTGCATTCGCGCCGACTTGCGTTTGGTAATCGACGAGATGGCGCCAATGTCGCTTCGATTAGCGTCGACTTAGCGTCGATCAGCGTCGATTGGCGCCGATTCGCGAGTGCCAAACAGACGGTGTGGGATGCTCCCATGATCGGCGGCCACCCCAGGGGGGTAAGTGAGAAGGGGCGGGTCTTCTCAGAAGGTTCGGAAGTCCCCCCGGCCTTCTCAGAAGTGTTCCGGGCCTTTCCCGAAGGCGCGGAGCACGGCTCAGAAGGCTGGAGGGCTTCCGAGAAGCCCCGCCGCCATCTGAGAAGGCATCCTCCTTTTCATTTGTCTCGGGCCAGACAGACGAAGGGGGGGGATAGGGAAAGGGGGGGTTACGAAATCTGCTGCTTGCAGCTGGTTTCAGCCCCACCGAGGGGCCCATTCCTCGATACAGGGCCGCCTCCGGCGCCGGAAAAATCAGCTACGTGAGCTGATTCTCACCCCCCCCCCTTTGCCCGGCCCGATTTTCCCCTCCGCTCGCCGCCGCCCACGAGTTGCCGCAGAAGGGAATCACGAGGAGCAGCACGAGCGGGGGCGGGACGTCGGGCACGGGAAGCCGCCTGCGGAGCGGAGGCGGCCGGCAGAGGTGGCAGTGAGTCGGGCATGTTCCTCTACAGGAGGGGTTTTCAAAAATGATCAGAAAAGATAGTCAGGGGACGATTTTTGGATTACAGTCGGCCCGGATTAGTGGGTCGACCCTGCCAGTTCAAGGGTACCCTTGTGTACTGTGCCTCGCGACACGTGCCTTCTTACGCTCCTATGGCGATGTGGCTCTCGGGAGGGTCTTGTGTCCTCTCGCGTGTCCTGTCCAGTCAAGGCCGACTGTTTTTTTGCGTATGTTTACATATTTTGTTGACCATGCTTTATTTTCCGTCCAATATCCGCCTGTAGGAGGACACGCCCGACCTAAAGCTAGCAGGAGGCGGGAGTCGGGGAGCGGGGAGGAGGCGCAGGCGTGCTGAGCAGGGGTGATGAGCAGGACGTTGAGGAGGAGGAGTTCAGAGGAGGAAAAGTTACCGATACCTCTTCCCTTTCCTCGTTTTTCCTTTTCTGGGCCTCCTGGAAGGCCCTCGTCACCACCGCTGGATTCGCTTCGAAATCCTAGTCAGAACGCACCCTGAGCGAGGTCCTGGGAGCAGCGATATCGGTACCTTGAGGTTTCTCCAAGAGCAGCGCCAGCAGGACGACGGCGTCTTGATTTCTTGCAAGCAGATCGACTGAGCATTGACCCAGGCCCAGACCCCCCACTCCCCCGCCCTTCGGCAAAATGTCGAAACCCATAATAAGAAAACAATTACGTAAAAACCTGAGCAGAGGGAGGACGAGCAGGAGTCAGGAGCCGGGGACAGACAACGACATACACATGAACTTTCGGAGGTCCGTGCGAATTTCACGGATCGGCGCCGGAGCCCCTGGGGGTCGCCTCCGTCGCCGCCCCTGGCGCGCCAGGGAGGGGGGTCAGCGCCGATCCGAGGAAGCCGCGCGGACCTTCGAACGTTTATGTTTGTGTCAGCGTCTGTTCCTCGAAGGAGGCGCGAGAGCAGGAGAAGGCAGGCGGAGCGGGGAAGGCGGGACGAGGCCAGAGGGTGGAGGATGGAGGGAGGTTGCGCCGACGACGAGGAGGAAGTGAGGGGATTGTGAGGTGGGGGGTTAGGAGAGGCGGGAACGGAAGCTGGAGGAGGAGGGGGAGGAGGAGGAGGAAAAGGAGGAGTCTAGGAGGAGCGTGGAGCAAGAGGAGGAGGAGGAGCAGGCGGCAGGAGGAGGGTCAGATGGACGAGGGGGTGAGTTGCAGCAGGAGGAGCGGGGGCAGGTGCGGGAGCATGACCCGGAGCGCAGGAGCAGTATCGGCCTCAGGGAGCAGCAGGAAAGGAGGAGGAGGACGACGGCGGGGAGAGCCAGGCGCATAGACAGAGAGAAGAGGGGGAAGCGGGAATGAAAATAAGGATAGGGAGAAAAGTGGAAAGGGGGGAGGCGAGCTAGGTGCGCTTGCGCCGTATCTGACATCCTATCTCTTCCTCCCATCCCAACGCGCTGATGCTGTCTCTATCTGCGGACGCTTGGTATAGCCGACCTGGCACTCCAAAACAGACCCCATCATGTGATGCGCAGCCGGACACGGGGAGCTGCGTACAATTGAGGAGGAGGAGGCGGTAGCGGGTGTTCGTCTGCCCGTGAGGGAAGAACGACAATCATGCCCATACGGGTAAACGCGGCGCCGATCATGGCGCGGGCGAGCATGCCCTGGCAAACCTGCCACACATCATAGCTTCCCTTAGCAAGGGGCACACGTGTACAAAAAGGAAGAAGGCACAAGCTGAATCCGTCCTCCGGCCTCCTATTGCTGGCTAACCCCCAATAGCGCCGGAAACGCCGTGCCTTAGGGGGGAAACCAACACATAGGAAAGCAACGGGCAGGACCCGAGCATTGGACCAGCGACCGCAACCCCGCAGGGTGAGGTCGCCCCCTGGCCCCTTCCCCCAGCTAACAGGCGGGACGGGAGGAGGCCCCACCAGGGGCGGGATTGGTCAAGTGCTGGGCCGAATTGTCCAGCAAGACAGCACGGAGCGGTACCCAGCGCCAGAACCTCATCATAAGACGGCACACGATATGCCCGCGGCTAGTAGCATTCCAACCAAGGTGGTTGGACGCTGTGAGCCGCGGGCACCCGCCTCCGCATCATCATCGGCGGTGCACCTCATACAGGAGGTGCCACACGGCGCCCAGGCTGCACCGCTTGGCCGCGGTGGCAGGGACTTTAAAAATACCCTGGCCTGACGGCACGCGGTAGAGGGTGAGCATGAGGACGAGCAGGAGGAAAAGGAGGAGGGAGGATGAGAAAGGACGGGGAGGAGGACGAACAACAGCAGCAAGAATAGGTAGACGGCCACGAAGGCCCTCAAGACGGTGCAAGAGGCCGCCCAGAGGGCCCCCCAAGGGCAAAACGCAAGCAGTGTTCTAGGAAAACGTCAAGTTTCTAGATCTTCGCTTTGTCAGTCCTAACAGCGGCCACGACGGCCCCAAATGCCCCCCAAATCGGCCCCAGACGGCCCAAGAGGCCCCCAAGAAGGCCCCAAGACGGCCTAAAGAGAGCTTCAAGCAGCACAAGAGAGCTCCAAGACGGCCCAAGAGAGTCCCCAGGGAGGGCCACCGGAGGATCCCTACCCAGTCGGAGAGGGCCCCAAGACAGCCTCAGCCCCCCGTGACGGGCCAAGAGGGACTCTGGACAGCCGGAAAGGCCCCTAGACGGTCCCCCAAAAAGGCCCAAAAGGATTCCCAAGGAAGGCCCAGAGAGGTTCCTCTCGGGAGGCCTCCCAGTAAGGTGTCTACGTCCTGCAAGATCCATTTCAGGGCTTCCAGAGGCTCCATAAAAACATGTTGCGGAGCGCTGGGAAGCAACCAAAGCACCCCGAACTCACGGTCGAGGTCAGGGGTGTACCGCCATGGGCGGGAGAGCGACATACGCATGTTTCTTTTGGGACTGTCGGTGGAGCTCCCACTGGGACACGATCCGCGTGAGAAACCCAGTCGCCTTGGGGGGGCGTGATGGTATGCAAATCCTCCCAAAACGTGGAACGTGCAACCGCGTCGTTCTGGCGCACAATCCTTGGGATGGGTGCGCTGAGATGGGCGGAGGGACGCCGTCGTGGCCTTGGGGCTCATTGCTTCCTTCGCAGTCTTCGATGTGTACATTGATACATACACACATACAAATGCAAACAGATGTTGTGCAATCAATGCGCTGCAACCTGCTGTACGCAACATATGTGGAGCAATATGTGTGGAGCGAACTACGAGGTACAATCTATGTGGTGCACTCGGTGTGGTACAATCTATGTTGTGCAGGATGTGTGGTGCAATCTATGTAGCGCGGACTATGTGTGGACAGTTTGTGCGGGGTAATCTACTCTGTCAATCTATGTGGTGCAGCCGATGCTGTTCGATAGACCTGGTTCAACCAATGTGGCACAATCTGCGCAGTGCAACATTTATGGCGGAATAGAGGTGTTGTCATATATGTTGTTAAGTCTATGTTGTGCATTACACGTGGTGCAACGTATGTTGTGCAATTTATGGTGTGCAGTCTATGTTGTGCAATCCATGTGGTGCAATGATTGTTGTGCAACCAATGTAGGGCTGCGACGAGGCGGTCACATAGCCGCCATACCGAAGACACGGCCTGGACGACGGGCGGCGACGAGGCGGCGACAAGCGGTGACAGCGGCCACAGCCGCCACACCGAAGACACGGCCCATTTCCGTAAAACAGAAGTAAGAGCCCCAACGAGCAAGCACTGTATGGGGAATGCATATATAGAATACGTCTATATATGTATGAAGAAATGAATTATGCTGGGATGCGGGGGGCCGGGGGCTCGGGCGGCGACACCCTGTCGGAGTTCCTTTGGCCGGCAACATTTTTGACCCCTTCCAGGGTGTCCTGGGAAACCCCCCTGCCTCTCCAACAGCTCCGGAGGCTACCAGACAGCGATCAACGCGGCCTGACAGGGCCGAAGACGCCCGAAGAAGACGGCTCAAGGGGCCCTG